CTCACCCATAATCCTCCCCCTCTCTATCATCTCACCCCACCATTCTCACCCGACCATCATTAACCATCGTCATCTCCTTCTCTGTCATCATCATCTCATCCCACCCACCTGCGACGATGGAAGACACTACCCACCGGCGACGATGGAAGACACCATCCACCATCCACCACACTTTCTATCACTATCTCTCTTTAACTGGACGAATACTCTCTCTCATACACATTAAACCCCATCAAATAATATACCTAAATCAACCATCTCTCTCCTCTCTCATACACATCAAATCCCACCACAGCCACTGCCACAATCATCCATCTCCTCTCTAATACACATCAAACCCCATCAATGTAGAAACCCAAATCAACCATCTCTTTGATCTCTCATACACATCAAAACCCACCACAACCACTAAGCGGAGGTTCAGGAGCACACGAGGGATGTCTGTTACGGTGACTTCGGCGGCGATTGCGACGAGAGGCAAGCTTGAGGATGCGGAGGCGGCGGCCTTGTCCATGTAAGGAGGAGAGGGGGCCAGAGCTGTGTTGTGTTGGATCTGTTGTGTTGATTTTATGATCTGTATTCTTGGCCATTTTTTTCAAAAGAGAAGGAACGAAGTTTTGTTGCTGGTTGATTACAGTTGATTTCATAAATCAAACATTTGCAATATGCCCACTCTAATTCCTGTGTGAGTCTATCAATTTGGGTTGAAGTTTTTAAGAATTTGGTAAGATGATGTAACAGGTTTATCTGAGGATGTGAGCTTGGTGGATACAAACATGTGCTTAGAATTTAGAAACCAAAATTTAAATAATAATTATTAAACTTAATTTCTAATTTCTTGTCTTTAAAATATTGAAAGCATAAAAGATTATTAAACATGATTCTATTATGTATTTCAATTTTAGAAATGACAATTATAATTTTATTTTTAGAGAAAATAAAAATAAGAAAGTGAAAATGTTAATAAACAGGCCATATATATGAATCACTTTGATTTCACACTAACAGGCTTCTTCTCTTCACGCCCATTAAAAAAATTGATCGAAAATTTTCAAAACATCACATACATTCTAATTTCTTCACCCAGTATGTTATCCTTTTATTTCTCTTTCATTGTTTTCACATAAATTAATAAATTCTAATGAACAGATAGGTCCACGCACCATTTTAGTAGAACCAAAGTTAATGGATTTGAGCCCTTAAAAATATGGTTTGTTTTAGGCTCATGGTCACATACCACAATTTAAAACACCTGCACGGCTCAGCCCATCTCATTCTTATTCTCTTCCCAACCCACTGTATTTTCATTCAATTTTTGCATACCACAAATATATATATTTTTAATTTTTTAATTTTATATATATATATATATATATATATATCGAATATATATATTCTCTCCTTGACCAGTCTACGAACTTATTCGATATATATATATATATATATATATTCTCTCCTTGACCAATCTACGAACTTATTCGAGGGACCCACACACAACTTGTAAAAATATAGACATGTGGTCCACTTAAATAGTGACGATACCCTCAAAGTTGGGAAATTTGTCGTGCATGACCTAACTCTATGATCCATTAATTTAATTATAAGATTGATAAAATGAAGTAAAAAAAGAAAAGCATACGGCACTCAACAAGTGACACATTAGGAAAAAGTAAAGACTTTGTTTCATTGGTTCATATACGACCAACTGCTTATCATAAGTACTCATCATTGCAACTTGTTTTTTGTCAACAACCAAATATCTTTCACATACGAGTTTTTGGTTGTGCTGTATATGTTCCAATTGCACCACCCCAACGCACTAAAATGGGTCATCAACTTAGATTTGGAATTTATGTTGGTTTTTATTCTCCATCTATTATTAGATATCTTGAATCCCTGACAGGTGATGTCTTTAAAGCACGATTTGTTGACTGTCATTTTGATGAGACTGTTTTCTCACCATTAGGAGGAGAAAAGGCACAGCAGCAACGTGATCTTACTTGGAATGCCCTGGAATTGTCTCATTTTGATCCTCGCACAAATCAACGTGAACGAGAAGTTCAGAGGATCATTCACTTGCAAAATGTTGCAAATCAATTACCTGATGCATTTACTGATACAAAGAAAGTAATAAAATCACATATACCAGCTACAAATGTTCCAGCATGAATTGCTATCCCTGAGGGACCTTCTGTCAGTAATGCAACAAATGCATCTAAAACACGCCTGAAGCGTGGTAGACCAATCGGTGCAAAAGATATTGCTCCTCGTAAGACGAAATCACAAAGAAAAGTTGACAATCCTGAAGAGGCCACAAAAAGAGTAACAGATATTATTGATCAATATGAGATAATAGGCTTTAATAAGACAGAGGCTCTTGATGAGTCTTAGGTACCAAAAAATGATGAAATAATAAATATTGATGAGGCAAAAGTAATAGATGATGATATGGCCCTTGATGAGGCACATGCTCTTGATGAGATAAAGGTACCTGAAAATGATAAGATCTTACTAAATTATGAAACGATATGGAATAGAAATGAAATTGGTGTCGACAACATATTCTCATATGTTGTTACTCTTGATATTGATAATGAGGATCCGGAACCTAAAAACGTCGAAGAATGTCAACGAAGAAATGATTGGCCAAAATAGAAAGAAGCAATATAAGCAAAACTAAATTCATTAGCTAAACGTGAAGTATTTGGACCAGTAATCCAGACACCTGAGGGTGTTAATCCTGTTGGGTACCAATGGGTGTTTGTACGAAAGTATAATGAGAAAACTAAAATCGTGAGATACAAAACTCGACTGGTAGCTCAAGGTTTCTCACAAAGATCTGGTATTGATTATGAGGAAACATACTCCCCTGTGATTGATGCATCCACATTTAGATTCATAATATATTTGGAAGTCACAGAAAGACTGCATATGCATTTAATGGACGTGGTTACAGCATATTTGTATAGATCACTAGATAGTGATATTTATATGAAAATCCCAGAAGGATTTAAAATGCCTAAAACAAAACCACGTAATATGTACTCGATAAAATTACAACGATCCTTATATGGATTGAAGTAGTCTGGACGAATGTGGTACAATCGCCTTAACGATTACTTACTCAAAGAAAGATATGTAAACAATCGTATTTGTCCATGTATTTTTATTAACAAATTAGAATCTGGTTTTGTTATTGTTGCAATATATGTTGACGATCTGAATCTTGTGGGAACATTGGATGAGATCGAAAAGACGGCCACTTATTTAAAGAAAGAATTCAAAATGAAAGATCTTGGAAAAACAAAATTCTGCCTTGGGCTGCAGGTTGAACATTTTTCGAGCGGTATTCTCATCCACCAATCAACATATACAGAAAAGATTTTGAGACGTTTTCATATGGATAAAGCCTATCCATTGAGCTCTCCAATGGTTGTCCGATCACTTGACATCAAGAAAGATCATTTTCGTCCTCGAGAGGATGATGAAGAACTCCTTGGTCCTGAAGTGCCCTATCTCAGTGTGATTGTTACTCTTTTATATCTTGCAAATTACACAAGACCTGACATAATTTTTTCAGTCAATTTATTAGCACGGTACAGTTCTGCACCAACTTGCAGACATTAGAATGAAATCAAACACATATTGTGATATCTTCGTGGCACAACTGATATGGGATTGTTTTATTCAAAAGCATCAAGTTCTCAATTAGTTTGATATGCATATGTCGGCTATCTCTCTGACTCACATAAAGCTTATTCACAAACAAGATATGTGTTTACCTGTGGCAGCACTGCTATATCATAACGATTTATGAAACAAACAATTATTACTTCTTCAAATCATTTTGAGATACCATGAGGCAAATAGGGAGTGCATTTGGTTGAGATCAATGATCCAATATATTCGAACAACATGTGGTCTCTCATCAATAAAAGAAAGCCCAACAGTACTATATGAAGATAATGTGGCATGCATTGCACATATGAAAAAAGGGTATATTACAAGTGACAGGACCAAGCACATCTCACCAAAATTCTTTTATGCACATGAACTCCAGAAAAAGGGTGATATTGATATTCAGAAGATACGTTCATATGAAAATCTAGCAGATCTATTCACTAAAACGCTTCCAATTACAACATTCAAGAAGCTGGTGCATAACATTGGAATGCGTCAACTAAAGGATTTTCAGGGTTGAACTAATGAGGGGGAGCAATTGATTGAAGAGGTATTGGCATACTGTACTTTTTTTCCTTCGTCCAGGTTTTGTCCCACTGAATTTTCCTAGCAAGGTTTTAATGAGACAGTCTTTAATCTATGCAATACCATATACAAGAATACTGTACTCTTTTTCCTTCATTAGGGTTTTATCCCACTAGGTTTTCCTTAATAAGGTTTTAATGAGGTATATTCTTATTATAGTATTGTGGACCCCAAGGGGGAGTGTTACATATATATATGCTTTGTGGGGTCCACAATATTTAAGTCATCCATGATGACATACTTTGCGTAGGGAGGAAGCTCAATTTTTGCTTACAGTAAAAGCCTTATTATGGCTTGTTTGGGAAGCTACAATTTTGAGCCTATAAATAGGCCATGTGTAAATACTGCTTTCTGTAACACACTTGAATGAAAAACTTTCCATTTTCTCTCTGTGTGTGAAAGTTTTGCTTTTAATTTCTCACATAATATTACTCTATATATATATATATATATATATATATATATATATACACACACACATATATTTATTACAATTTTTAAATTTTTTATTTTATATATATTTTCCTCTTCATTGACCAGTCTACAAACTCCTTCCAGGGACTCACCCGTAACTTGTAAAAATATAGACGTGGCACTTAAATAGTGACGATACCCTCAAAGTTGGGAAATTTGTCGTGCACGACCTAACTCTATCATTCATTTATTTAATTATAATATTGATGAACAAGTAAAAAAAGAAAAGCATATGGCACTGAACAAAGGACACATTAGGATAAAGTAAAGACTTTGTTTTATTAATAAAGAATAATAAGGTACAGGCAATATATCTTAATATGTGACGTCAACAACCATTTGGGCACCAACACCACACCACCAACCTTTTTCTTGTTATTTTCTTTCCTCATCTAAAACTCCATATTATAAAAACCCCGAAAAACACCAAGAAAATGAGTGGATGTGTTAACAAAAGGGAATTAAAAACAGCAGGACAATGACCGCCCTTTTCACATGATTGTGCACGCTGATGGATTTTCTTCACAAAAGTAGTAGTCACACCGACATGGTCTTCCATAACCATCACAGTATCCTGCTGTCCTTCCATAGAAATCATAACATGGTGGAGGAGGAGGTGGTGGCCTTCCTCCGTACCCATCGTAACATGGGCCGCCAGGCCGCCCCTCATAACACGACCCACAACACACCCCTATTGGGTAGACTGTTATCGGTCCAGGCATAGGACACGGAGCCGGACACGGAACCGGTGGCTTAGGGGGAGGCTTTTCTGCAGGCGGTGGCGGCTTGGGCTTTTCTGCAGGCGGTGGCGGCTTGGGCTTTTCTGCAGGCGGTGGCGGTTTGGGCTTTTCTGCAGGCGGTGGCGGCTTGGGCTTTTCTGCAGGCGGTGGCGGTTTGGGCTTTTCTGCAGGCGGTGGCGGTTTGGGCTTTTCTGCAGGCGGTGGCGGTTTGGGCTTTTCGGGCTTTTTGATCTCAATGCACTTAATAGCTTTGCCACCCTTGCAACACAACTTGTCACGAATCTTCTCCGGGCTGCAGCATACTACAGTGATGGTCACCGTATTTTGCTTTTCATCATATACCTGGTTTCGTATTTCTGCATATCGTCCCCAAAATTTAACACATCACATCAAATAAAATAAACTATGTATCCAAAAATGAAAAAAAACACATGTAAATATTTGATTACATAGTTACTTAGTAGTAATTGAGAAACTCACGAGGAAATTTACAGAGTACTTTCTTGACCTTCTTGTAGCAGCTAGGGCACTGAAGATCAACCTTCAGCACCATTGTTGTTACCTATTACAATATTTAATGGTAAAAAAAATTAATATATTCACATAAATTAACAAGATAGTAGAGGAGAATTAATAATCAATTAATGATATATCACTGTTTGGAAAGAGAGAAAATTTGTTGTGCTTTAGAGAGGAAAAAAAAAGGAGAGAAGAAATCGAGTCAGGTTCTGAAATGAAAAATTAAAGAAATGGTAGATAAGATGATCAGAGAACATACAAATTAAGCAAAATCAGAAAACAACACAACCACAAATAGAGAGAGGAAAAGATAGGCAAACCTTTTCAGCCATTGGAGTGGGTTGTGAGTGGTGTGATCTGATCTGAACTCAGAGGTGTGAGTTGATGATCATGTATAATTGATAACCAAGTGACAGAGAGAGAGAGAGGGGAAGAGAGATCAAAAGTGTCTTAATTGAGTGGTATTGATGTTAATGAAATTGCTTTAAGAATACACAACGACCAATAAGGCGAGAACACGTGTGGAGTAAGTTGAAATTCATACGATCATCAATCAATGTTTGTCGTTAGAGGGTGGTGGTGACTGGTGTGCTGGTGGCCTATATGTAGCGACGCCTTTGATTGACCCATCTTACCTTCCATAACTTAAATTAATTTAAAATAAAAGGAAGATAAATTGTATCGTAAGGTACTTGGTTTGGTCATGTGCAATAATGGATTCATGCACCCCACATGGGCCCTACGCATGTACCAATGACGTCGATTCTTGAAATGTTGCTTAAAATTTGGCACCTTCCTCTCTCCATTGTCCACAGGTTGAAATGTGTGACTCTCTTTCTCCACACATTTTCATCATTCATCAAATCCGATCGAAGATCAAAAATGTACATTCTCAAAAGGTTGTGATAGAATTCCGTACTTAATAATTTTATGATGAAAATGATTTGATAATTTAGTGAGTTAGTATTTTTGATAAATTTTAAAATGTCAGGTTTTGGCTTTTTACATTTATTAATTTAATTGTTAATATTTTTTGTTTTTATAAAAAAAAAATTTTTGATTTCATGATAATGTTATTTTTTTACTTATAAAATAATTAATTGTATCTTATTTATATATATATAAAAGAATTTTAGAGTTACTATTCCTTAACTGAATTTGGCTAACAGTAGCTAAACGATTATTTATTTGTTTATTGTGAATTACAGAGTATATGAAGTTGACATTTTGTACAACAGAGTTTTAATTGTTTCAATCCATAAGAATTGGTTCACGTCTAAAAGGCTGTCACGCACGATGTGTGTAATTTTTTTGGGTGTAATTAATTGGATGTTTAGAATTCGAATACATTGTGTGAATATTAAATTCCATTTAGTTTTTGTTAAAAATATCAAATTGTTCATTTCACTGTACCTTTTTTTCTTATTTTTATAATTATTGTTTTGCTCTATACTTTGGAAGGAAAAGGTTTTAACATATTGTGAAAATGTCCAAACCAAAAAAAAATAAAAAATTAAAGGTTTGTAAGGTTATGTTCGGTGGCATATAATTGGAGTTTTGAAATTGGAATTGAAAAAAAAAAAAATAATTCAAAAAATTAAAGCTAATTTTTTTTTTTCAAATTTTATCAATTTTAATTATAAGACTTGAATTCCATGTTGCCCTAACTGAATTGACTAATTATGTATTTATTTATTGTAAATAACAGTGTATATGAAGTTGACATTTGTATAATGCATTTTTGTTTCAATCCATAAGACTTGGTTCAGGTCACTCTCTAAAGAAAGGCTGTCACGCACGATGTGTGTACTTTTTTTAATGTAATTAATCAAATGTTGGGATTGTATGTATTAGAATGCGAATTCATTGTGTGAATATTAAATTTCATTTAGATTTTATTTAGATTTGCTAGTAAGGTCCCAATACATCTTTCATCTTTATGTTGAATAACACAAACTAAAAAACACTTTTAGTACAATGTAGGGTAAGTGCACCTTTTGTTTTAAGTAAGTTGGCACCTTTCTTTTTCATAAATCACTCCTCTTTTTTTATAATTTTTTTGTTCTTTTTCTAAATGTAAACGACAAAATACTTAAAATACATGATTTTCTTATTTATGAGTTAAATAAGAAATTAAGTGGTTCAATAAAAGAGGGGCACAAATGTGGTTCTCGATTTAGTGGTATATTTATGTGTAAATGCACCAAATACAACAATGTCTTGCCACTTTACCAAAAATTATAAATGGTGATTAATGTGTGACCCTATAGGTAGATGGGGTATTGAAGAGACACACGTATACTGTAAACTGTAAATGGTACGAGTGCGCACACAGGAAAATGGTACTAACAAGTAGACAGTTTGTGGGCCTCCAATGGGCCAATGATATCCATCAGCTAAAACCATCATCTCAACTCCAATCCACAACACCCACTCGCTACGTCCAGGTTACGGGCCTTACAAGGTCAACCCGATTGGACATCCAACAATTTCTATTTTCCTTTCTATAAATAATAATAATAATAATAATTTTTTTCTTTTTTGCAAATGTTAAATGTTGTGAGTATATAAACCAACACACACACACACACACACACACTTGTTATCCATGATAAGAATGTGACGTGAGAAATGAAAGGATTTGGCACCAAAAGGGACGAGAACGTGGAGTAAAAGAGTCCAATTGCATGTTGGGTCTAAGAGGTAGCTACTACTTAGACTATAAAAAGTCATGAGAATGTTATGATGTGGAAGTCCGGCTATTATTTTGGGTTGGTTAAACCCAGTCCATATTGAACCCAAAACTCTCTCAATATCCTTCTTCTTCTTCTTCTTCTTCTTTATATATTTTATTTATCAGGTCATGTTTTGTAGTATGTCATAGTTGGGTTCAATTTTGAAGTTGGACAATATTCTCAAATCTAAATCCAAAGTACCTATTTCCATACATGTACAACATCATTGATTTTAGTTCAACATCAGTGCACCTTGCCTAAAACGCATGGTGTAATATTGGTTTTAATAAAACTCATCAAATCGAATACCCATCTACCTCAAATGCTACCTCAAAAACTCTGGATGTACAAGGGTTTCAAAGACCGGCCCATACAGTTAGTTTCTTTAATTTTAAATTTCAGTTTGATATTAGCTCCATTTATTTGGACATCAAATATTTTTGTTATTTTTCATTGTTTGGTTGCCACTTTAAATTAACATAAATATTTTACTAGTAAAGATTTTTACAATCATTTTTACGGGGGAAAAAAAAAAAAAAGACTTGCCCGACTAACTACTAGAAGTCCTATACAAAGGCCTATAGTATTAGTAAGGGTAAATTAAACTTTGGACAAATTTTACACAGATGGAGCGTTTGAGATTTATTTCTTTAATCTCCCTTGAAGTTTGTGTGTATGCTCAATAACATCTTCTCTTCATCAAAATTTGTAATAAAAAATTCATAAAATGACCAAGTTGCCCTTACACCCATTTTTTTATTTATTTATTAATTTACAAGATTTTTTTGAGGAGAGGGTAACTGTGGAGGAGAGAGAAAGTAATAAGAGAAATGAGATAAAATAATTGATTTTTTTTAAGATTTTATAATATGTTTTGTATTATAAAAATATATTCCATATAAGGGTATAATTAACTTTTTATAGCCGAGGTCAGTGTAATAAACCCCAAACTCTCTACCCATGTCAGAGTGTAATTTACCCCATTAGTAACTTATAAATACTAGGTTTGTACATAGGCGCAAAGCTTCGGTCAACATCTCTAGGGGCAAAGCGGACTTGAATAGTGCTTGTGTTGTGGGCACGGGCCGATTTAGGAGTGGGCTTGGGTGCGCTCAAGCCCACCAATTTTTTTATTTTATTTTTTATTATATCTAATTTTAGCCCAATCCAAAAAATAATAATAATTTATTACTTCTATTAACCCACTCAAAAAATTATTAACTCATCCCAAACAATTTCTGAATACGCCGTTAATTGTGGGGTTGATACACTTATTCTAAGAAAAAAAACTTTCAGTCAACTGTTACTACCTTTCCGTCACTTCGTAGGGACGAGTAGTTCTGGAATCGTGTGTGTGTGTGTATATATATATATATATATATATATATATCTCTTCTAGGTTTAGTTAAATTTTAATATACATAAGATGTTGGATATATATCAGATTATAAAAAATTGTTAGAATGGATTAACAAAAATAATAATATCCCGAACAACTGATCACATAAAAACAAATTTACCAATAATAATAATTTTTCAAAAAAACACAATTAAAAAAAATTACACATAATTTGAAATCCCATAATATCTTTTTATAAGGTAGGTAGTTGAAACATCAAAGTGTTCAATCATTTATTCAAAATCAAAATTTAATAAGTAACTCATGATTCTTATAAAAAAGGGTAACCTCTTTGTAACATCGATCACTCTTTTATATACTTTATGTAATGGAAGAAAGTCGCGCACAGTTGTATTATAACATGGTTAAAGGATCAAAGAACGTGTCCAGTAAAAATATAAGGACATAGCTAGTTTGGGCCCAAGGGGCACGTGCCCAATGGGCTCAGCCTAGCCCATTAATTTTAATTTTAATTTATATATATATACAAGTATATTATTTGTAATATATTACTTCATGCCTCTTCTGAAATTTAATTTAAAAAATAAAAATAAAAATCTCCTGAATTTTGACTTTTTATACATATAGATATATAATTTGTAAAATATTATTTTGTACTTCTAAAATTAAATCAATCTATAAGCTTTTTATTTTTAATTTTTATATATACTCATAATTATGAATTTAATTTTTTCATTTTAATCACATCCATCTCAACCTTTAATGATGTTTATACATTAATATAACGGATAAATGTTAATGGGTCCCATTACATTAAATATTTATGTATTTTATATGTCAATGTATGACAGTCTGTGAAGCACGGACACTCTTCCCGAGGGTTCCGTGTCAGTGTCAAACACGTGTCCGACACTTTTATAAAGTGCCCACAAATTATTATTTTTTAGACATGGATGGGAAATGCGAGGGATACGCGGAGGATACCTAAATATTTAATGTAATTTTAAATGTTTAAAAGTAAAATTTTGAAAAATTTAAAAAATAACTAAACAAACAATGAACTAATGAATGAAGAATATTAAACATGTTGGAAATGTGCTTGATATTAATTGTTTCATTTTATTGATAACTTTGCTAGGTTTTTAATTACTTAGACGATGAATTGAAATATTTGTTTTATTGCAATATTTTTTTGGTATTGTGAATTTTGAATATATATATATATATATATATATATATATAATTTTATTGACGTATTCCTGCCGTGTTTATGTCTAATTTTTTTGAAATTTATCGTGTTGGTGTCGCCGTATTTATATCGTACCCGTATCCCGCGTCCGTACTTCATTTATAATCCACTAACCTTATTCTTGTTATTTTCTTTCCTCTTGTAAAAACTCCATGATATAAAAACACCAAGAAATGGATGTGTTAACAAAAGGGAATTAAAAACAGCACGACAATGACCGCCCTTTTCACATGATTGTGCATGCTGATGGATTTTCTTCACAAAAGTTGTAGTCACACCGACATGGTCTTCCATAACCATCACAGTATCCTGCTGTCCTTCCAAAGAAATCATAACATGGTGGAGGAGGAGGTGGTGGCCTTCCTCCGTACCCATCGTAACATGGGCCCCCAGGCCGCCCCTCATAACACGACCCACAACACACCCCTATTGGGTAGGCTGTTATCGGTCCAGGTGTAGGACACGGAGTCGGAACCGGAGCCGGAGCAGGCGGTGGCGGTTTGGGCTTTTCTGCAGGCGGTGGCGGTTTGGGCTTTTCTGCAGGCGGTGGCGGTGGCGGTGGCAGTGTTTCATCATCAATTGGTCTGGGAGCTTCTCTGACGGGGGGCGCCTCAGGCTCTTCTGCAGGCGGTGGCCGTTTGGGCTTTTCTGCAGGCGGTGGCGGTTTGGGCTTTTCGGGCTCTTTGATCTCAATGCACTTAATAGCTTTGCCACCCTTGCAACACAACTTGTCACGAATCTTCTCCGGGCTGCAGCATACTACAGTGATGGTCACCGTATTTTGCTTTTCATCATATACCTGGTTTCGTATTTCTGCATATCGTCCCCAAAATTTAACACATCACATCAACTAAAATAAACTTTGTATCCAAAAATGAAAAAAAACACATGTAAATATTTGATTACATAGTTACTTAGTAGTAATTGAGAAACTCACGAGGAAATTTACAGAGTACTTTCTTGACCTTCTTGTAGCAGCTAGGGCACTGAAGATCAACCTTCAGCACCATTATTGTTACCTATTTCAATATTTAATGGTAAAAAAATTAATATATTCACATAAATTAACAAGATAGTAGAGGAGAATTAATAATCAATTAATGATATATCACTGTTTGGAAAGAGAGAAAATTTGTTGTGCTTTAGAGAGGAAAAAAAAAAGGAGAGAAGAAATCGAGTCAGGTTCTGAAATGAAAAATTAAAGAAATGGTAGATAAGATGATCAAAGAACATACAAATAATCAGAAAACAACACCACCACAAATAGAGAGAGGAAAAAATAGGCAAACCTTTTCAGCCATTGGAGTGAGTTGTGAGTGGTGTGATCTGATCTGAACTCAGAGGTGTGAGTTGATGATAATGTATAATTGATAACCAAGTGACAGAGAGAGAGAGAGAGAGAGAGAGAGAGAGAGAGAGAGGGGAAGAGAGATCAAAAGTGTCTTAATTGAGTGGTAGTGATGTTAATGAAATTGCTTTAAGAATACACAACGACCAATAAGGCGAGAACACGTGTGGAGTAAGTTGAAATTCATACGATCATCAATTAATGTTTGTCGTTAGAGGGTGGTGGTGACTGGTGTGCTGGTGGCCTATATGTAGCGACGCCTTTGATTGACCCATCTCACCTTCCATAACTTAAATTAAATTAAAATAAAAGGAAGATAAATTGTGTCGTAAGGTACTTGGTTTGGTCATGTGCAGTAATGGATTCATGCACCCCACATGGGCCCTACGCATGTACCAATGACGTCGATTCTTGAAATGTGTGACTCTCTTTCTCCTCACATTTTCATCATTCATCAAATCCGATCGAAGATCAAAAAGGTTGTGATAGAATTCCGTACTTTGACTCTTTATATTTATTAATTTAATTGTTAATATATATATTTTTTTCATGATAATGTTATTTTTTACTTATAAAATAATTAATTGTATCTTATTTATATATATATAAAAGAATTTTAGAGTTACTATTCCTTAACTGAATTTGGCTAACAGTCGCTAAACGATTATTTATATGTTTATGGTGAATTACAGTGTATATGAAGTTGACATTTTGTATAACAGAGTTTTAATTGTTTCAATCCATAAGAATTGGTTCGCGTCTCTCTAAAGAAAGGCTGTCACGCACGATGTGTGTAATTTTTTTTCGATGTAAATAATTGGATGTTTAGAATTCGAATACATTGTGTGAATATTAAATTCCATTTAGTTTTTGTTAAAAATATCAAATTGTTCATTTCACTGTACCTTTTTTTTATTTTTATTTTTATAATTATTGTTTTCCTCTATACTTTGGAAGGAAAAGGTTTTAACATATTGTGAAATTGTTCAAACCAAAAAAAAATAAAAAATTAAAGGTTTGTAAGGTTATGTTCGGTGGCATACAATTGGAGTTTTGAAATTAGAATTGAAAAAAAAAAAAAAACAATTCAAAAAATTAAAGCTAATTCTTTTTTTTCAAATTTTATCAATTTCAATTATAAGACTTGAATTCCACGTCGCCCTAACTGAATTGACTAATTATGTATTTATTTATTGTAAATAACAGTGCATATGAAGTTGACATTTGTATAATGCATTTTTGTTTCAATCCATAAGACTTGGTTCAGGTCACTCTCTAAAGAAAGGCTGTCACGCACAATGTGTGTACTTTTTTTAATGTAATTAATGGAATGTTGTAATTGTAAGTATTAGAATGCGAATTCATTGTGTGAATATTAAATTTCATTTAGATTTGCTAGTTAGGTCCCAATACATCTTTCATCTTTATGTTGAATAACACATACCAAAAAAACACTTTTAGTACAATGTAGGGTAAGTGCACCTTTTGTTTTAAGTAAGTTGGCACCTTTCTTTTTCATAAATCACTCCTCTTTTTTTTTAAAATTTTTTTTGTTCTTTTTCTAAATGTAAACGACAAAATACTTAAAATACATAATTTTCTTATTAATGAGTTAAATAAGAAATTAAGTGGTTAAATAAAAGAGGAGCACAAATGTGGTTCTCGATTTAGTGGTATATTTATGAGTAAATGCACCAAATTCAACAATGTCTTGCTACTTTACCAAAAATTATAAATGGTGATTAATGTGTGACCCTATAAGTAGATGGGGTTTTGAAGAGACACACGTATACTGTAAACTGCAAATGGTACGAGTGCGCACACAGGAAAATGGTACTAACAAGTAGACAGTTTGTGGGCCTCCAATGGGCCAATGATATCCATCAGATAAAACCATCATCTCAAGTCCAATCCACAACACCCACTCGCTACGTCCAGGTTACGGGCCTTACAAGGTCAACCCGATTGGACATCCAACAATTTCTATTTTCCTTTCTATATAAACCAACACACACACACACACACTTGTTATCCATGATAAGAATGTGATGTGAGAAATGAAAGGATTTGGCACCAAAAGGGACGAGAACGTGGAGTAAAAGAGTCCAATTGCATGTTGGGTCTAAGAGGTAGCTACTACCTAGACTATAAAAAGTCATGAGAATGTTATGATGTGGAAGTCCGGCTATTATTTTGGGTTGGTTAAACCCAGTCCATATTGAACCCAAAACTCTCTCAATATCCTTCTTCTTCTTCTTCTTCTTTATATATTTTATTTATCAGGTCATGTTTTGTAGTATGTCATAGTTGGGTTCAATTTTGAAGTTGGACAATATTCTCAAATCTAAATCCAAAGTACCTATTTCCATACATGTACAACATCATTGATTTTAGTTCAACATCAGTGCACCTTGCCTAAAACGCATGGTGTAATATTGGTTTTAATAAAACTCATCAAATCGAATACCCATCTACCTCAAATGCTACCTCAAAAACTCTGGATGTACAGGGGTTTCAAAGACCGGCCCATACAGTTAGTTTCTTTAATTTTAAATTTCAGTTTGATATTAGCTCCATTTATTTGGACATCAAATATTTTTGTTATTTTTCATTGTTTGGTTGCCACTTTAAATTAACATAAATATTTTACTAGTAAAGATTTTTACTATCATTTTTACGGGGGGAAAAAAAAAAAAAAAAAGACTTGCCTGACTAACTACTAGAAGTCGTATACAAAGGCCTATAGTATTAGTAAGGGTAGATTAAACTTTGGGCAAATTTCACACAGATGGAGTGTTTGAGATTTATTTCTTTAATCTCCCTTGAAGTTTGTGTGTATACTCAATAACATCTTCTCTTCATCAAAATTTGTAATAAAAAATTCATAAAATGACCAAGTTGCCCTTACACTCATTTTTTTATTTATTTATTAATTTACAAGATTTTTTTGAGGAGAGGGTAACTGTGGAGGAGAGAGAAAGTAATAAGAGAAATGAGATAAATAATTGATTTTTTTTAGATTTTATGGTATGTTTTGTATTATAAAAATATATTCCATATAAGGGTATAATTAAATTTTTATAGCCGTGGTCAGTGCAATAAACCCCAAACGCTCTACCCAGGTCAAAGTGTAATTTACCCCATTAGTAACTTATAAATACTAGGTTTGTACATAGGCAGCGCAAAGCTTCGGTCAACATCTCTAGGGGCAAAGCGGCTTTGGCAGAAATCAGAGAGATAAGTTCTTGATATCTCACTTTCGGACTGCGCTCCTGACTTGAATAGTGCTTGTGTTGTGGGCACGGGCCGATTTAGGAGTGGGCTTGGGTGCGCTCAAGCCCACCAATTTTTATTTTATTTTTTATTATATCTAATTTAAGCTCAATCCAAAAAATAATAATAATTTATTACTACTATTAACCCACTCAAAAAATTATTAACTCATCCCAAACAATTTCTGAATACGCCCTTAATTGTGGGGTTGATACACTTATTCTAAGAAAAAAAACTTTCAGTCAACTGTTACTACCTTTCCGTCACTTCATAGGGACGAGTAGTTCTGGAATCGTGTGTGTGTGTGTGTGTGTGTGTGTGTGTGTGTGTGTGTGTGTATCTCTTCTAGGTTTAATTAAATTTTAATTTACATAAGATGTTGGATATATATCAGATTATAAAAAATTGTTAGAATGGATTAACAAAAATAATAATATCCCGAACAACTAATCACATAAAAACAAATTTACCAAAAATAATAATTTTTCAAAAAAACACAATTAAAAAAAATTACACATAATTTGAAATCCCATAATATCTTTTTATAAGGTAGGTAGTTGAAACATCAAAGTGTTCAATCATTTATTCAAAATAAAAATTTAATAAGTAACTCATGATTCTTATAAAAAAGGGTAACCTCTTTGTAACATCGATCGCTCTTTTATATACTTTATGTAATGAAAGAAAGTCGAGCACAGTTGTATTAGAACATGATTAAAGGAGCAAAGAACGTGTCCAGTAAAAATATAAGGACATAGCTAGTTTGGGCCCATGGGGCACGTGCCCAATGGGCTCAGCCTAGCCCATTAATTTTAATTTTAATTTATATATATATACAAGTATATTATTTGTAATATATTACTTCATGCCTCTTCTGAAATTTAATTTAAAAAATAAAAATAAAAATCTCCTGAATTTGGACTTTTTATACATATAGATATATAATTTGTAAAATATTATTTTGTACTTCTAAAATTAAATCAATCTATAAGCTTTTTATTTTTTATTTTTATATATACTCATAATTATGAATTTAACTTTTTCATTTTAATCACTTCCATCTCAACCTTTAATGATGTTTACGCATTAATATAACGGACGAATGTTAATGGGTCCCATTACATTAAATATTTAGGTATTTTATATGTGCATGTATGACCGTCTGTGAAGCACCTACACTTCTCCCGAGGGTCCCGTGTCAGTGTCAAACACGTGTCCGATACTTATGTAAAGTGTCCATAAATTATTATTTTTTGGACACAAATGGGACACACAGGATACGAGGATACGTACTCGGCATTGCAAGGTATATATTTTGTAAATTTTTTTTTTTAAAGAAAAAAATGGTACCTAATGTAATTTTAAATGTTTAAAAGTAAAATTTTGAAAAACTTAAAAAATAACTAAACAAACAATAAACTAATAAATGAAGAATATTAAACATGTTAGAAATGTGTTTGATCTTAGTTGTTTAATTTTATTGATAACTTCACTAGGTTCTTAATTACTTAAATTATAAAATGAAATATTTCTTTTATTGCAATATTTTTTTTTGGGAGATTAGATTTATGGGATTGTGAATTTTGAATATATATATATATATATATATATATAATTTTATTTTATTGGCCCCGCCGTGTCCATGTCCAATTTTTTTGAAATTTGTTGTATCGCCGTATCCGTGTTATATCCATATCCCGTGTCATACTTCATAATGATAATCCACTAACCTTATTCTTGTTATTTTCTTTCCTCTTGTAAAAACTCCATAATATAAAAACACCAAGAAACTGAGTGGATGTGTTAACAAAAGGGAATTAAAAACAGCACGACAATGACCACTATTTTCACATGATTGTGCATGCTGATGGATTTTCTTCACAAAAGTAGTAGTCACACCGACATGGTCTTCCATAACCATCACAGTATCCTGCTGTCCTTCCATAGAAATCATAACATGGTGGAGGAGGAGGTGGTGGCCTTCCTCCGTACCCATCGTAACATGGGCCCCCAGGCCGCCCGTCATAACACGACCCACAACACACCCCTATTGGGTAGGCTGTTATCGGTCCAGGTGTAGGACACGGAGTCGGAACCGGAGCCGGAGCAGGCGGTGGCGGTTTGGGCTTTTCTGCAGGCGGTGGCGGTTTGGGCTTTTCTGCAGGCGGTGGCGGTTTGGGCTTTTCTGCAGGCGGCGGTTTGGGCTTTTCTGCAGGCGGTGGCGGCATGGGCTTTTCTGCAGGCGGTGGCGGTTTGGGCATTTCTGCAGGCGGCGGTTTGGGCTTTTCTGCAGGCGGTGGCGGCATGGGCTTTTCTGCAGGCGGTGGCGGTTTGGGCTTTTCTGCAGGCGGTGGTTTGGGCTTTACTGCGGTGGGTGGTGGTTTGGGCTTTTCTGCGGGGGGTGGTTTGGGCTTTTCGGGCTCTTTGATCTCAATGCTCTTAATAGCTTTGCCACCCTTGCAACACAACTTGTCACGAATCTTCTCCGGGCTGCAGCATACTACAGTGATGGTCACCGTATTTTGCTTTTCATCATATACCTGGTTTCGTATTTCTGCATATCGTCCCCAAAATTTAACACATCACATCAACTAAAATAAACTTTGTATCCAAAAATGAAAAAAAACACATGTAAATATTTGATTACATAGTTACTTAGTAGTAATTGAGAAACTCACGAGGAAATTTACAGAGTACTTTCTTGACCTTCTTGTAGCAGCTAGGGCACTGAAGATCAACCTTCAGCACCATTATTGTTACCTATTTCAATATTTAATGGTAAAAAAATTAATATATTCACATAAATTAACAAGATAGTAGAGGAGAATTAATAATCAATTAATGATATATCACTGTTTGGAAAGAGAGAAAATTTGTTGTGCTTTAGAGAGGAAAAAAAAAAGGAGAGAAGAAATCGAGTCAGGTTCTGAAATGAAAAATTAAAGAAATGGTAGATAAGATGATCAAAGAACATACAAATAATCAGAAAACAACACCACCACAAATAGAGAGAGGAAAAAATAGGCAAACCATTTCAGCCATTGGAGTGAGTTGTGAGTTGTGAGTGGTGTGATCTGATCTGAACTCAGAGGTGTGAGTTGACGATCATGTATAATTGATAACCAAGTGATAGAGAGAGAGAGAAAGAGGGGAAGAGAGACCAAAAGTGTCTTAATTGAGTGGTATTGATGTTAATGAAATTGCTTTAAGAATACACAACGACCAATAAGGCGAGAACACGTGCGGAGTTAATTGAAATTCATACGATCATCAATCAATGTTTGTCGTTAGGGGGTGGTGGTGACTGGTGTGCTGGTGGCCTATATTTTCTAGCTGGACTATATTTTCAAATCTAAATCCAAAGTACCTATTTCCATACATGTACAACATCATTGATTTTAGTTCAACATCAGTGCACCTTGCCTAAAACGCATGGTGTAATATTGGTTTTAATAAAACTCATCAAATCGAATACCCATCTACCTCAAATGCTACCTCAAAAACTCTGGATGTACAGTGGTTTCAAAGACCGGCCTATACAGTTAGTTTCTTTAATTTTAAATTTCAGTTTGATATTAGCTCCATTTATTTGGACATCAAATATTTTTGTTATTTTTCATTGTTTGGTTGCCACTTTAAATTAACATAAATATTTTACTAGTAAAGAATTTTACTATCATTTTTAGGGGGGGAAAAAAAAAAACAAAAGACTTGCCCGACTAACTACTAGAAGTCGTATACAAAGGCTTATAGTATTAGTAAGGGTAGATTAAACTTTGGGCAAATTTCACACAGATGGAGCGTTTGAGATTTATTTCTTTAATCTCCCTTGAAGTTTGTGTGTATGCTCAATAACATCTTCTCTTCATCAAAATTTGTAATAAAAAATTCATAAAATGACCAAGTTGCCCTTACACTCATTTTTTAATTTATTTATTAATTTACATGTTTTTTTGAGGAGAGGGTAACGGTGGAGGAGAGAGAAAGTAATAAGAGAAATGAGATAAAATAATTGATTTTTTTTAGATTTTATGATATGTTTTGTATTATAAAAATATATTCCATATAAGGGTATAATTAAATTTTTATAGCCGAGGTCAGTGTAATAAACCCCAAACGCTCTACCCATGTCAGAGTGTAATTTACCCCATTAGTAACTTATAAATACTAGGTTTGTACATAGGCAGCGCAAAGCTTCAGTCAACATCTCCAAGGGCAAAGTCGCTTTGGCAGGGATCAAAGAGATAAGTTCTTGATATCTCACTTTCGGACCGCGCTCCTGACTTAAATAGTGCTTGTGTTGTGGGCACGGGCCGATTTAGGAGTGGGCTTGGGTGTGCTCAAGCCCTCCAAAAAAAAAAAAATTTATTATATCTAATTTTAGCCCAATCCAAAAAATAATAATAATTTATTACTACTATTAACCCACTCAAAAAATTATTAACTCATCCCAAACAATTTCTGAATATGCCCTTAATTGTGGGGCTGATACACTTATTATAAGAAAAAAAACTTTCAGTCAACTGTTACTACCTTTCCGTCACTTCGTAGGGACGAGTAGTTCTGGAATCATATATATATTTATATATATCTCTCTTCTAGGTTTAATTAAATTTTAATATACATAAGATGTTGGATGTATATCAGATCACATAAAAACAAATTTACCAAAAATAATAATTTTTCAAAAAAACACAATTAAAAAAAATTACACATAATTTGAAATCCCATAATATCTTTTTATAAGGTAGGTAGTTGAAACATCAAAGTGTTCAATCATTTATTCAAAATCAAAATTTAATAAGTAACTCATGATTCTTATAAAAAAAGGTAACCTCTTTGTAACATCGATCACTCTTTTATATACTTTATGTAATGGGAGAAAGTCGAGCACAGTTGTATCAGAACATGATTAAATGAGCAAAGAAGGTGTCCAGTAAAAATATAAGGACATAGCTAGTTTGTGCCCAAGGGGCACGTCCCCAACGGGCCCAGCCTAGCCCATTAATTTTAATTTTAATTTTTATATATATACAAGTATATTATTTGTAATATATTACTTCATGCCTCTTCTGAAATTTAATTTAAAAAATAAAAATAAAAATCTCCTGAATTTGGACTTTTTATACATATAGATATATAATTTGTAAAATATTATTTTGTACTTCTAAAATTAAATCAATCTATAAGCTTTTTATTTTTTATTTTTATATATACTCATAATTATGAATCTAACTTTTTCATTTTAATCACATCCATCTCAACCTTTAATGATGTTTACACATTAATGTAACGGATAAATGTTAATGAGTCCCATTACATTAAATATTTAGGTATTTTATATGTGCATGAATGACCGTCTGTGAAGCATGGACACCCCTCCCGAGAGTCCCGTGTCAGTGTTGAACACGTGTCCAACACTTCTGTAAAGTGTTCATAAATTATTATTTTTTGGACACGGATGGGACACGCGGGGGATACAAAGAGGACACGTACTGGACACGACGGGGTATATTTTGTATTTTTTTTTTTTAAAGAAAAAAATGGTACCTAATGTAATTTTAAATGTTGAAAAGTAAAATTTTGAAAAACTTAAAAAATAACTACACAAACAATTAACTAATGAATGAAGAATGTTAACCATGTTGGAAATGTACTTGATCTTAGTTGTTTAATTTTATTGATAACTTTGCTAAGTTCTTAATTGCTTAGATGATGAATTGAAGTATTTCTTTTATTGTAATATTTTTTTTGGGAGATTAGCTTTATGGTATTGTGGATTTTGAATATATATATAAAATTTTATTGGCGTATCCCTGCCATGTCCATGTCCAATTTTTTTGAAATTTGTCGTGTCGCCGTATCCGTGTCGTACCCGTATCCCTTGTCAGTACTTCATAGATGATAATCCACTAAGAAGATGGGAAGGTAAGGTTATTCTATACCTATGGTCAGTGATAGGAGCGAAGTCTTAGTGGTCCCGTTACAATGGTACTTGTCCCACATCACATCTAGATAGAAAGTGAAAGGAGTATAAATAGATGGATATATAACATTACCCAACAACTTAAATTTTTCGGTAAATGTGCGCTTTGCCCACCAGTGAGTCAGACTTAGTTCTTGATCTGGTGCCTCGTCAAGTGTCCTGCCTGAAATGCTTCCTAGTAAGCCACCCGGGTAGGTGGAAGGTATGGTGACCCGACCGTAATGAGAGCCTTGTGAGTTCGAATGGAGGAGAATATTATAAGGGCTACTTGTCTCATATCGAATTCAGATGGAGAGTGAAAAGGATATAAATGTGTAGATTTGTAACATTACCCAACAACTTAAGCTTTTGAGTAAACTTGACTGTCTAAGTACTAGTACGATTTAATGGAGCAAAAATAAATAAATAAATAAAATACATACATACATATATTTAATAATGGTAAACATAACTATTGAAATTTGCTAAAAAATAAATAAATAAAAAAAATAAAATCTTATATATTTTCTTAGATTATCTCTTCTTTTTTTTTTTTTTTTTTTTTTTTCAATGGAAAGGTATTTTATTTACTGATATGTCCCCCCATATCCTTAACGTATTTAATTTACTTATCTGTCCCCCAAATCCCTAACAAAGAATTCATTCATTGTACTAAGAGCCATGGATCTAGAGATCTCCCTACGTCTTTCCTTAGAACAAAAAATTTACAAAAAGAAACAACGACATAAATATGTTTCAATTCACTTATTGATTCTTAAATAAAAATACAACAATCAATATCTATGGCTTCATAAATCTCATCTTTAACTGCGTACTGTGGACTATAAAACCAGTAAAAATTTGTGCTCCATCATATTGTGATGTAAACTCAACAACTCAACTTCTTTACAAAAAAAAGTAATAATAATAACAATAAATAAATAAAATAATTGTGGACTACATATGGTGGATGTATGTAATGACATTTGGGATTCTGGGAGCGTATACAGCGCCAACTTGTTTACGTGAAGACAGGAGGAGATCAATCAACTTTTTTTATCTTTCTTTTATAACCTTTTGTCCTTGCCACTTTCATTTCATTTCATTTCATTTCGTTTTTGTATTATGGATGACGATAACGCTAGCTTATCATCACACGTGTTACTCAGCATATGGCTGAAACATATGGGCCCCACACTTTGGCATTTGAAGATCCTGATAGGCCTTCCCAGACCGACCCATAAATTTGGTTTCCGTGCATCTCTGATCACTGGGGCTTGGAATCAAAACCATGGGCTCCATTAACAATAATTCATATGCATGCTATGCTATCCACCCAAAGGGAATTCTATGAAGAAAAAAACACATAAAAACAAAAATTTTCTTTCATCATCATTTTATTTTAATTTTTTTTTTTTTTTTGGGGATTATGGAACCGTATCGGATCCTCTCTTTTGCGTGTTCATTGATGTAGCCTTTTGTGCATTAAAAAAATACATGCCTTAAAAGATAAAATACCGACAACATATCATTATTTTATGTATTAGTTAATTTAAGTAATTGATGATCATTTAACAAATCCTAATAATATATTAGTTAATGATTATTTAAATATATGAATTAATGGTGAAAAATTAAAATTTTATCTATTGGGTTATAGTTAAAAAATAAATAATATGAAATATTTAGGAAAAATTTCAATCCGTGGATCTAATCTAATCCGATTCGTCATACAACGGATCCAATAACGGATTGGTGGGAGATTCAAAATTTTCCAATCAGTTGGAATCGAATTGTCACCCCTAGTTTGTTGTACCAATGACTGTGTTACATCAGTTACAACTAATAATTTCTCTTTTCTAAGAGTTTTAACTTTTTAAGAAAATAAATTTTAATATTTTATTATTATATTGATACTGAATTATCAAATATGTAGTGTTTATGTTTACAGGTGATTTGCTGAAACAAAAAACAGGAGTAACGTTCATTTGTTCCTTAAATTTTGTAAACGGGAAATAAGGAATCTAGTGTTGCACCCATAAAAAGTTTTCTTCTAAATTTTCTAGTTGCAGTAATAATAATCAAGCACTTGAAAAGATACCTTCCTAAATTTAAAATCTGGTGTTCTACATCTATCACCCCAACAAGGAAGGGAAGCATTATAAGATCTTTCATTCGGGTTAAAAGAGCCCAATGTCTTGCTAGAGACGTTAAAGACTAGCAAAAGCATTCGTAGAGTGTCAAAATCCTATTCCTCCTTCATTTCTATCTTTCATCTTATTTCTTGCGAAGTCTAGATACTTGTTTTTGGTTCATATGCATTTAAAGGAACTTTAGTGCAATTAAAACTCATAAAACAAGACTTTGATACTTCGAAAATATAATATAATAGCAGATGCCTCGATAGTCCAATGGTTAATGCCTCCGGTAGATTTTGGAAGTGCCAAACTTCGACTCTTTGCACCTACTAATCTAACTTCTAACTTTCTTGCCTTGTACAAAAAAAAAAAAAAAAAAAAAAATACAATAGAGCTAATTAGAATTTCAATTACTGTTAAAATACAATACAATAAAGCTATTACTGTTGGCTATATATACATATGCATATATTTAATGAACCAAGTGGTTGTCTTTAGGGTTTTGATTTGGGCCAATTTCCATGATTTGAATCAGAATGTAAAACAGAGAATCAAACACTGTAAGAGAGATGAAACTCGAGCCTAAGAGAGAAACGAACTCAACATGCATTTTTATCAAAGTACAATAAAAAACGTGTGTATTGAAGAGGATTCATGACTTTCATTATAATGGCATGTGATCCTCGTATTTGTAAAAGATATATATATTTTTAAAGAAATAAAAAATTAAACGTGCTCTATAAAAGTACCCAATTATTAAGAGTTTAAGTATCTGTAAAAACTGGATAAGTGTGAATTATTTGTCAGTAAAAAAAGGTACAAAAATCCGGTTGCATTGCTAATATTTTAACACCTTAATGTCAAAGTAATCACTGACAAAGTGATGCAATAATATTTACAGTTAAATTTTTATACTCCTGCACTCAGCTCCAAATTAATTTTTTAATAAAGGAAAAAACATAATTATCTATTCAGATGTAGTGTGTAAAAGTATTAATTTATTGTCACTATCGCCGCGTTTATGAATGTTACTGCTAAGGGCTATCTGTAGTACTGCTTCATCCAGAAATTTGTTTTACTGAATGCAACTTTAGACTATAAGTTTTACCTAAAAAAAAAAAAACTTTAGACAATAAGGATAAAGAAAAAGCAATTAAAATAATATTAAACTTAATTATAAATATTTAATATTTTGGTGAAATATACTCAACTAGTTTGATATTTTAAAAATATTAGCTAAATATGCCATCAAAAATAGTAACTCTGTGATTCTCCTCTAACTCTTAAATCGAAAGATTTGATAAGTTGGTGTGTTAATTTTTATAAAGCATGAAAAACAAACAATACCTCTAAAGTTGCATTTCTCAGTCTTTACATCTCAGCCATAAATTAATGAAGACTTTTCTTACTTTTTTAGTATTTGTCGTATATACTCTGATGGTGCTCATTTTCCTTTCAATCATGTCCAAAGATCAACTCCGTCTTCCACCAATCAGTAACATGATCATATATTTATATATATAGAATAGTATGGTATTAAAAGGAGGGAGGAAATTCGTGTTATTGAGTCATAATCGTATGTTAATTTGAGAATATTATATTAAATTGTTCAATTCTTTTAATAACTATCTCCAGAGCTCTAAATATTAACCCGACATGTTTATTAAATAGATTATACGTGAAACCCGTTTAATGATCTATTTAAAAATAAATAAATTATATAATTTAAATTATTAATAATATTTAATAAAAAAATAAATATTAAAAAAAATATAAGTTTTAATCAACCAAATTACTAAATAGTTTCTAATTTACAAAAGATTAAATTATAAGACACAAGTTTATATAATAATTTCAGAACTTAAATAGAAATTTATTTATACAATATATAGTTAAAACGTGTATAAACAGATTATACGGATTAAACCCTTCAACCCAAACACGATACGATTAACTGAACCGATTAATTATATTGATTCATTTATGATTCGAATCCGTTTAAGGTCAACCCAAATTCGTATAATTTGTATTGTGTAAAAATCTTGTTGGCAAATCGTGCAAACTTTTACCAACCCTATTTGAAGGAGGCAATTTATTCATATACAAACTATATAGCAAGAATCTTAGATGCATGTGGTGAATAGCGTATTCACCCTTTAAAGTGTAACCCAATCCTTTCCTTTATGCATATTTCTAGAATCTCATGTAAAGGTCATGTTATACCTCATGACTAGATGGTCTTATAGGTACATATACGCATCTAATGATATATTCACTTCATTTGAAGTTAGATGTGGTTTTGGAAACAATGTGAGTCACAATTTTTCAAGATGATATTTAATTTGAAACAAAAAATACACACACACGGACGGAGTATATACGAAAATTACATAATAGTAAAAAAATAATAAAGTAAATGACTGTTCTGTCCCGTTCTTTAATATTAAACAGTTGTAAGCTAAGGGCAAATGATGAGATGCTGAGTCAGCTAAAGGACGTTTGTCCCCTGCATTAAATAATTCCACATCAGATTGGCAGTACCAACATTTTACTTAAATGTCTTCCTTCCCTTAGAGAGAGAGAGGAAAAACAAAAGCAAGAGAGAAGTCTTCATTGCTTGTGTATTATATACCTTCACAGTACGTGAACCTCAGATACACAGAGAGAGAGAGAGAGGGTAGAGTGTATTTTGAGAACTTGCCAAGATATGGGCGAAGTAAGTGTCATTCTTTCGCCTAAACTCTTTTAATTTTCTACCTATTAGTCAACAATTAATACTCTTTTCTTTTGCATTTTTGACAAATTTAGCAATATTTTGTGGTCAATCTTAACTTATTTTCGCTGTGTAATCCTAAATTTTCCTTTCAAATTGTTCAAGTACGTAGATCGATGTACTTAAGTTTATAATTATGATCATGTGTTTGTGAATTGTGATCGATCCGTGGGATATATATTTATGGAGATCTTATAGCTCAAGTTTTGTATATTCTCTTAAACCAAATATATATTATATAAAATTAAAATTAAAATGAAAAGTTTCTCAGACATATATATTGGAAGTTTAATTAATTTAGCTGTACCTGTTGTATGAATGGAAAGGAGAAGAAAGAGGAAGAAAAGAAGGAGGAAAAGAAAAATGAGGAAGGTGGGACAGAAGAAAAGAAGGATGAAGCAAAGAAAGAGGAGGAGCCACAAGAGATCGTGCTCAAGGTTGATATGCATTGTGAAGCTTGTGCCAGAAAAGTTGCGAGAGCATTGAAAGGATTTCAAGGTCATTTTCTTTTACTTACTTCTTTAATTAATTAATCTCATATATAAGTAGCTAGCTAGCTCTTTTTTTCTTTTCTTTTTTTAAATTTTAATCCCCACATCCATATATCTCCCTAAATTAAACTTAGAATCACATGTCTAGAGATAAAAAGAGAATTGTTTATTAACCATGGTTAGGTTTAACTAATTAATTAATAGTGCAAAATTGATCTTTGAAATATATATAGATATATATATATATATAGCTTAACTTTTAGATGGACAAAATATCATGTTTAACACGTTTAAGAAATTAGAAAGTTAATGTGATTTTTGATTATAAATCTTTTTAAGTAGTAGAGTAAGTAGATTAATGTAAATATACTTTAATGGGCAGCAGGAGTGGAGGATGTAACGGCGGATTGTAAGGCGAGTAAGGTGGTAGTGAAAGGAAAGACAGCAGACCCTATAAAGGTGTGCGAGAGGATTCAAAAGAAAAGCGGTCGATCGGTGGAATTGATTTCACCTTTACCAAAGCCACCTGAGGAAATTAAGGAGGAAAAGAAAGAAGAACCCAAAGAAGAAAAGAAAGATGAGGTAGTTCATTTCTCCCATCCATTTCCTTTCACCTCTAGCTTTTTCCATCATATATTACATTTTCACTGCATGCGTAGAATAAATATATGCTGCATAGCATTTAATTAAAACAAAAAATAATAAAAAATTTGTGTTCACCCATTTGAATAATTTTCATTTTATTACATATAAAAACAGTCATATATATATATATATATATATATATATATATATATCTATTTTATTTACCTATGTCTATAGATTTAATAATAATAAAAATTTAACTAAATTGATTATGATACAAGTTAATATCAAAATGTTAACAGCCTCTCAGATGGTAAAAGTGCTTACATTCCTCCTCCAGAATTCCGAATTATGAGAACTTTATGCACTAGCCTTTATGACAGGAGGTGACTTGACTCACTCAATTGAACCCAAGTTTTGCAAACCCTAAAAAAAAAAAAAAACTTTTGAACCCAAGTTGAAATGGAGTGTGTCATTGCTATAAATATTGAAGATGAATCACCAAGCTTAATTTGGGGGGCCCGGGTAATAAAGTTGAATTTGGTTCGGCGTTGTGAGGGCTCCAGCTTCTCTGCCGGTGCAGTGCTACTTGTGACTGCTGCCCTTCCTGAAAGCAACAGAACAAGTTTACCAAATGAAGATTGGCACATTTTACGAGGATTTTATAGAGCTGAGTCATGAGTCATGACTCGTGAGCTTGCAGAGGCTTGACCCAGGTGGACCTGTGCACCACTACCTGCCACAGCCAACCATGTGCTTAAGACCTCACGGGTCTGCTCTTTAGATTTGAGTTTAATACATCTTTTGATAAACTCTTCTATCCAATTTGATAGTGACAACCTTGTCATTAATTAGAGTAATGGAATACGTTGTATTTTATCTTGAGAAAAGAGTTTATGAATCTAATACTTAAATCTGATTATTTTGATATTTTTTGTGCACTCATACGTAATAAGCATAATACGGTGCAAAACATAGATTTCATAAAAGAAGTTAAGGGGAAAAAGATCATAATTAATATCAATCATAAGTTGATCCAGTCACTAAACAAATTAATTAACTGTACTTCCTTTAAGATTTCATGACAGTATTTTTTTATTTTTTTATTTTTTAAATGGTTGCTGCATTTACCGCTAATGGGTTACGGAAAAGTACTATCGACTCACTTCATAGATAATTTCCTTGTTTGGGTACAACATTTGTGTTTGAGTTTTCTACTCTGACCATTTAAACTCTTATATTTGTAGTCTTTATTGTCAATAAATAGTTTTGTTAATTGTTTTGTACTCTATTTCTTGGCATGCATTCAGCCTCCTCCAGTTATAACAGTTACACTGAAAGTTGGAATGCACTGTGACGCATGTGCTCAAGTAATACAAAAGCGAATCAGAAAGATCCAAGGTATGCCCTTATTTTCATTTTCTTTATTTTAAAATATTTTTTGCCAAAGCTTAAGCAAATACACACGCGTACCAACAAGTCAACCTTTCCTTTAAAGAGAAGAGATCGTACCATTATTAGACATTGCTCATTGGTAAGTAAAATTACATATTCTTTTTCTTTATGTTACCTATATCTGTGCTTCAATATCTAACCTTCAAAGCCTTTTTGTTTTCTACTTCCCCTTTTCCATTTTATCGGCTAACTTTAACCCAGACTTGATACTTTAACTTTATACTGCCTCAACTGTCAAATAAAATCGAGGTCTTGTAAGAGTAACCTATTCTCAATCCTTGAGGAACAAAAAGGACTCGTGTGAATGCATAAAATTGGAACATAAGTATAATGTAGTAATGGGCTACGTACCTTAAAAAGATCACTTTACAAAGATTTTCATAGAGCGAAGTACAAGCTACTTGCACATGAGGACACTCACAGTATGCTTGTGCTCTTAATTAGTCGTTGGATTGAGAATGTATACATACATATATATATGCTTTTTGTTCTGGTACACACTCACCTACGTGACAACACCGTCATGATAGATTTTCCTTTGTGATATAGCCAACACCTTTTTGTTCAAGTCATGATCTGTGATTAGGGGTGTCTTTCAAGTCATGATCTCAGTTTTCACACAAACATGTCAACAATTAAAAACATACTTGGGAGCATATGAAAAATAAATAAAAAGTATATAAATATATACACATATGCTTAGGGACATGCATATGCTGAAAGATATAAATAGATAGTATAAAAAATAAAAAAATAAAAATAAAAAATAAAAAAACATATAGATATTCACTATAGTGATCTAGCTCCATTCTAGCTAATAGCAGTTGCTTCATTTATAATCAGAATTCTATTTGATATATAGATGGTTTCACATCAAGTACCTATCTTAATATTTTTTGTTATATAATTGCTACCAATTTTGGGGAGGAAAACCTTCAAGGCAAATGAAGTCTCAAAATATACAATATGCTATTTAGACATGAAAATAATTATGGATAATAATAATTAGACATGAAAATTCTTTAGCATATATAATTGCAATGGATTGCAGGTGTAGAATCGGTGACAACAGACCTAGCAAACGATCAAGTAATTGTAAAGGGTGTTATTGATGCTACTAAACTGGTCAATGATGTGTACAAGAAAACCCGGAGGCATGTTTCCATTGTGAAGGATGAGGAAAAGAAAGAAGAAGAAAAGAAAGAAGAGGAAAAGAAGGAAGAGAAAGAAGGAGAAAAGAAAGATGGCGAAGAAAGCAAGGGAGAAGATGGCGATAAGAGTGATATCAAGAGAAGCGAATATTGGCCTACAAAGTACCACATGGAGTATGCTTATCCCCCTCAAATTTTCAGTGATGAAAACCCTCATGCTTGCTCTGTCATGTAACTTAATTATCACTTTAAACCATTTCCGAAGTATATTAGACTTTTTATCTATGCAATTTTCCATGTACTTAAATATATGGTAGTAATAAGCTATCGATCCTCAATTGAGGATTAATGGCATGCCATGTCTTTTTAAATTATTCAATGTCATGCTTCTTGAAATGTGACGTATGTACAAAACACTTTCTCTTCTTTTTGTTTCACCCTAGGCTTTGGCTTTGACATTGAAAAACACATTAATTGGTTGTGTGTTTTGTAATGCGCTTGTATCTGCCGCACTGGTTCTCATTGTCACATCTGTTGGATATATGATGAAGACTATTGCTCAATTGTTACATTCAGAGCTAGTTATAGTGCGAATGCAACCTTTGTGTACGTGTACGAACTTCCTGAGCAATATATATGTATATATAGGTCAATTATGATGGATGGTGCGAAATCAAGTTCTGTGATTCCTTCAACTGGTCTAATCCAACAACTGTTGTGAATCCCCTTTTAATTATTGATGTATGGATCAACCATGATCCACCACGTGCCAGCTAGTGAAAAGTATGTCAAACTATATATCGATTTAGAGTTTGTGCAAAAAAAAGTGACCGGTGAAAAATTATAAAATATTATATAGATAATAATAGAAATTACACTTGATGTTATATATTTCATCACATATCCAAAGTCGATCCACTGAGAGGCCACTTGAGACTGACCCTGCGCAGTGCATGCACCGGGGATTATGAAGGTGATTCTTCGGTTGGTCCAACCCCAATGTAGTTGGCTTTTGTGTCATATAATGCGGAATGGTTGATCCGCCGGCCACAGATAGAGATGAATGGACATGATGGAACAAAGAACATGCTAAAGGTGGTGGTCCTCCAAGACTACTACTAGCTACTAGCTACTAGCTCGATCATTTGTTACTATAAAAAAAAGGTTTGAGATTCAAATCTCGCATATATGCCTGCAGCTGCTGTTCCACTCAAGGTGCATGATGATGAATTGCAACCATTGACAACGTGTGGCATGTAGGCTCAATCAAATTTTCCCCACAAATGCACTCACATTCACATACGACTCGATCATTGTCAGATTAAGAAACGGACACAACACTGTACGTATTAGGCCCCCTCATGAAAAAGCTAGTCTGGAGGAATAATTCTTGTATCTTTTTGCATTGTTTGCCATAACAGTACTAATGCGCTGGACCACAGGTGATATATATGTTTTTGCATTATACTACTCTTTAGGTGGGATAGGAGGACACTTTCAGATTCCAAGCTTATTTGCCGATCAAGAAAAGGACTCAATCCTCTGTTCGGATATTGAAAAAGCTAGCCCTCCTCTCCTTCATGATCCATGATTCTCAATCACAACATAACATTATTCCACTACCACAGATCAAGTCTGCCACGTCTTTAGTTTACACTTGGATGTACGTTTCTGTTTGTGGCTTCTCTTTACAAATTTTAACAATTTGAATCGTCATGACGTTAACAAAAAGCATTACTTGCTGAATTCATGATGGGGAAGTGAGATTTTATAGACCGCTTTCACACACATTTCAATCCAAAACTTGCTGATGTACGTTAAGATGGACAAAAAACATATTTTCTTTCTTTCTTGATTACTAAATCTATCAGTCATGGACCCAAGATTTAATATCATCCTTAATCCCCACTTGAATCTCAATTCAGTGTTAAACTAAGGTGATGCTTAGGTCCCTGTCATATATAATATCTATTATCTATGATTATGGCGATGACTTCATTTTAATTACTCAACTAAACTGGCTTTATCCAAGTGTGTTTTTCGTGGGCGTCTGTCTCTTGTGTATATATCACAAGTCACAATTAAACAAAATTATTAATTCTTCCCCCAAATCCTTGTCGTTTGTGTTCCACTCTGCGCTCATGCACTCATATTTACTAGTGGGACTTATCCTCAAACTGTGCCTAGCTCATTCCTATTATTCTTCTTATTGATATTGGGTCAACATTAATAGTATCAAAAATTTAAATAAAAAAAAAAAAGAAAAAAAAAGAAGCGCTCTGACCAAACCTTTTAAACTTGTCCTTGTAATCAAAATTATCAAACTATGCCATATGAATGAATTGAAGCCATCATAAGTAGGCCTTCCTGGTGAAAGTTTTATTTTGGTGCGGTTTTGGATAGAAACAAAGTATGATCACAAAACATTTCGGAAAAAAAAGATAAATGGATTGTGTTTGTGTGCCTGTGAATGTGTGCATTAGCGAGCTAGCATGATCAAGATGTGGTTATCATCATCAGTGAGTTGTTTAGAAACTATCAATCCCAACAATGCATATATACTTAGTGTATTAGTATAAACATTGGTAAAGGTTTTTGCTACAGTTATATCCAAGTGTACTTCCTGAGAACAGTGCCTTATATGCCTACTCCGTCTGGCTGCGTCAACGCTCGATCCTTCACAGTCCGCCTACTATTTTGCCGGTGCCTGACCCACCCACTAATTATAAAAGGATCGGCCAACAGCCCTCCGTCTGTCCAACAGTGGGGTCATTGACGCCCGTGAAGTCCAACTGTGGACCCCACTCCTCCGTAAAAGTATAAAGTAGCAAAATACTTTACTACTGTATATGACTAAGTCTGACCTCACAGCATGGTTTGTCATCCCATTTTAATACTTCGTATTTAAAAATTAAAAGAAACTGATATGCCATATTAGTGCCATTCTCTGAAAAACACAAGTTAAACACGTGCTGTTAATCCTACGTGACCACCCACTGTTTCCTATGTAACGGCAACTTGCGCTATTAACACCGGTCCTACCGAAGCTTTCAGTTAATCGCCAACGGCGTTGAGTTATCCGTGAGCTCTCTCCATCCGACGTGGAATGCAAAAAATGGGTCCTACGGAGGAAACCACATGTACTGCCAGACTGGCTTTCTCAAATGGAGGGAAAAGTGTGTCAGATGCCTTATAGCACGTGGGGTTCACACGGTCGGAAAAGTTTTTAGCCACAACCACCTCCGATCATTTTGATTGATCCACATTAATTTGGTATTTTTGAGTGCAGCGACTACCCACACCCATTACTTACCAAAAAACAAGACTGCACAGAATCATTCTTTATTCATCATTAATTTATTCAAATGCTCAAAACTCACTATCATAATATGTCTGTATGCCCAGTAAAGATAATTTTTTTTTTTTTTTTTTTCTTGTCATTCTTAAGAAATACTCACACACTCAATTGAAAATATATAAGATAAATTACACTTAGACTCCATGAGGTTAGGTCATTTTATAATTAGATTAACATTTTGGTTTTAAATTTCACTTATATTTGAATTAGTGGTTTAACATTTCATTTACACCCCAAATGTCAAATTTTGGTGGGTAATAGTATTTTTAGGTATTAAATAATTATATTACCCTTTGACCTCTTGTTGATTATTTTTATAACCAAATTACCCTAACATACACCTTCCTCTTGTTCCTCTTTATACCATCATCATCCCTGTAATACCCCTAATTTTAAAATGATAGTCTCGGTATTTATTTATTTGTTTTAATTTTATTTTTTAATTATTTAATTAATTATTTGACTAATTGCTTATGTATTTAATTGAATTAGGTATTACTTGATTATTTGATTATGTGTCTATGTATTATTTGTATTTATCTATGTGTTAATTGTTTAATTAGATTATGTGCTTAAATGGTATTTTGATTAGTTGTAAATTAAATATTTTCTTTTTTTTATTATTTTATTTTATTTTTCTTTTATGGTTATGGTTAGTAGTAATGGGCCAACCAATTGGGTCCCATGGACTACTTGGATAGGAGGTTGGATGTGTATGAATTATTACCCATGGATAATGTATGTGTATATATAGATATATATTATATACATATATAAAAAGGAAAGTAATTTATTAATTATTTTTATGGTAACTTGGGTAGTAATATTTAATCTGATGTATATGTTTTATATTTAAATAATAAAAATATACATAGATTTGATACGTGTTATGTTTTAAGTTACTTTATAATATTATGGTAACTTAAGTATTATTGGATAATCCATTAATAAATAATGGAATGTGTATAATTTATTTATTTAATAAACATATACATAAATTATATACGTAACATATTTTACTTACCTTTTTAATATATATATAAAAGAGAAAGTAATTTATTAATTACTTTTATGGTAATTTGGGTAGTAATATTTAATCTGATGTATATGTTTATTTAAATAATAAAAATATACATAGATTTGATACGTGTTATGTTTTAAGTTACTTTATAATATTATGGTAACTTAAATATTATTGGATAATCCATTAATAAATAATGGAATGTGTATAATTTATTTATTTAATAAACATATACAAAAATTATATACGTAATATATTTTGCTTACATTTTTAATATTTTTATTTCCATTTTTTTAGTTGACTTGGATTGGGAAAAGGGTTAGGGTTATTTTATTTAGCCTATAAATATATAGCTATAGGTTGTAAAAGGAGGTTAGAAATATTCACGTGATATATACTGGAGAGATAGTGTTAGAGAGGGAAGGAGGAAAATGAAGGAATGAGGAGAAAAACCCTGTAGAGAGAATATCAAGGAAGAAGAAGTTTAACTTTCGATCCGAAAGTTTAAGGCAAGTTCTTCTTCTATCTCTTTCCCTTTGATTCGTGTTTCTGTACATGCCTAGGAAATTCCAGAATTTATTAAACACATAAAATTAAATAATTATGCATGTTTAATTGGGTTAGAATATAGGTTTTATAAAATTGGTTCATATCTGTTCTTGTGTTATGAATTGATAAAATGCATGATTTTGATTTGATTTCTTATGTGAATTTTTACATGTTTAAATTATGTATTTTTCATATCTGTGGAATGATGGAACGTAGAAACATGCCTAGGATTCCTGAACATTAAATAGGGACTAGGTTTGGGTTTTAATAAATTTAAATAGACTCAATCATAATGATGCTTGCTATTTGAATGTTTTAAACAAACGAATGGATTTAATCTTTTAAAATATTTTAGCAATTGAGATTAAATGTGTAGGATGAATTGGATATAGAGAATCCTTATTTAACAGTATAATAAAATATCATCATATATAAGATTCAGTTTGTGTAGGACATATGATATAGGAA